ATAGACACATAAAAAAAATATATATATATCTATACCCATAAAAAATGATAAGAAGATTTTCACGTCCGTTTAATTTTTTTTGTTTTCTTTCTTTTTATGTGTCTATCTTTTTCTTCAAAATAAATACAAAGAATAACTATTATACATATCAATAAATACTTTTTGTTTATTATAAAATTTCTTTTCCTGCACCAAACCCTACCCTGCAAGTTGAAGTTGAGCACAAAATCTTCTGATGTATAAAGTAAAATCCTTATCATGACGATCGTACAAAAATTGGCAAATCATGCAACTTATTCAATGATGGAACTTTGAACAAAACTTTTTCATATCTTAAGCAGAGTTTTTACCACTGACGGATTTTAAAGTCCAAGACCTAATCAGGACGCTAACATTTAATATGCAGGCTACAAGCTACTTAGGCATCTATATACCATTACTCATGATTAAAGGGACCCATAGGCCATATCCTTTAATTTAATCTGCATTATTCATGTTGTTTAATTACCACTCTCTTCTACTTCGTATTTAGAAACTACTCTTAATTACAACGCGTATATAAGTGCGTTTTTAAAATAACATTGTAAAAGAATTTTATTTCAATTGACGCGCAAACCGATATGAAGATGAATATAGACTTGTTTTTGAATAATTTTTTTTTATGTAATTTCGTTACTACATAAAAAAATATATTTTTTTATTTGTTTTTAATAATAGGTTTTTCCTACATTTTATTTTTTATTTTTTTATTAATATCCTTTATATTGTTTTTAACTTGATTGAGATCTTTTATTTTTTAAGATTTATTGTTTCAAATCCTCATTTATAATTCTACTTATAATGTTACGTGTCGATAATTGATTGATAAAATTACAAAAGAAGATCTGAAATTAAAAATTTCAAAAAATAAAAAATCTCAATAAAACTAGAAAAAAAGTAAAAACTCAATAAAAAAAATTTGAAAAATACAAGTTCTAAATATAAAGAAAACCTTTTTAATAATTAACCATAACATCTTCAATTATGGTCAAATTTCACACATATTGATACTAAGTTCATCTTTACTTAAATCGAAGTTGATAGAGTAATATATCTAAATTATTTTTTCGTAATATCTGATTAATTAAACTCTGAAATCATAATATAATAAATATAAAGATAAAATTTAGTGATGCTATTTGCATAATGAACACCTTGAAAGCACCATGCAGCCTTATGCAAAAAATTGGACCAAGTCATCTATTCAAATGCACCTAACTTTTTTTGTTAGGTCTAATTCATCCAAGGAAGAACAGCCGTTGTGGCCACTTTTGTACTGCATGGTGCATAATCATCGAAGAGGTCACAAATTTGCTAACTTCACTTTCATTCGTCAATTGCACACAATCCTTTTTCATTCTTATTTACTCCATAAATCCTCATGAATCGTGAAAATTGTGACATTTTCTGTATATATATATATATATATATATATGGACGGTCATGAGATAGCAATATATCATGCCATGTTCTGCTTTTATTTCTATGCTACATTCTCGTCAATATTGACATCATATATTGTTTGACATTGTCATTTTGACGTTATAATCATACAATATTGATTGATGACGATGGGTCATACATATGCACCGATAAGAATCAATGGAGAATACTATACAAAAGGATATGTTACCTCTTTTCATGGAGCAACTGAGAGCACGTTCAAATCAAGGAATGATGGATATGTATAGATTTCAGCGGGGCTAAAAGGATCAGAACTTTCCTGAATTTGAATCTATTTCAAAATCACTTTTAAGCTTTTAATTTAATCATGTTTTGATCTCTTTAATTAAAATTTATTTTTTCAAAAAATTTAATATATCGTTTAGTTTTCTATTATTTATCTTAAAAAAAAAAAAGCAATTTCATAACTAGTTTCACGATAGATATTATTTGATGAGGTTTATCTAGAGTTTCTCAAAAAATTTAGGATTATTACCATGATATTTTTCATTTTTCTCCATCTTTATAGATTTTTAAAATTTTTAAAATAAACAAATATAATTTCCGATCTTGAAAATTTTGAATTTTTTTTAAAAAATTATATTGGATTTTTTCAATGTGTGCGCAAAACATCAAATTAAAATACCAAAAATTGATTTTTTAAAATGAGATTAGTAATAGCCAAAAATCATAGAATTGACTAGATCTAAAAAAAAAAAGAAATAATAAATAAATCAGATAAGTCAAAATACAAATTAAAGGTTTAAAAGCTAATTTTCAAATGAATTAAAGTTTAGAAGAAATTTGACTTTTTAATCATTTTAGGCCAATATATATATATATATATATATATATATATATATATATATATATATATATATATATATATGGGTAATGCTAATTAATTCGTCCTGAGTCTCAATTTTCTTTGAATACTAACTAGATTTTAATGTGTAAAAATGTCAATAATTTGCTTTTGAAATTAGTATTAGATCTGATGTATATGTTATTTTGTCCTACAAATATTTCAATGGATATGCAAAAAGAACATAACATTTATCATGTGATCCCAGCTCCGATAGCCGCATTAATTTACTTTTTGATTAGAAGATAGAAGGAAGATCATACTAAGACTTTACTAACAACAAACGTACGTAAATTGTTTTCTTTTCTTTTTTTCGAGTTAGCCACCATTTTGTTCTTCCCTTCGGTTCATCTCAATTTCCTATTCTTTCTCTAGATTAACATCTATGATAACTAAAACATGATTTTCATAAGCTAAACAAAACAAATTTGTCGTAAAAGTAAAAACAATCTATTATTATATATATTGAAAACGAAAAAAGTGATCAAGGAATAATATTTTAATGTTCAATGATGCAGATAGATGCGTATTTGATTGATTTTTTTCAACCAAAACCTTCGGATGAATGTTTCTCAAATATATATTTGTAATTAATTATTTTTATTTAAATCAAATTAAAAATCGTATTGTAAGCTTTAGATTAAATTGTATATTACATATTTTTAGTTAAGTATAAATCTAGGAAAAAAACAGTAAAAATATATCAAATATTATTGTCGCTATCCGACGCTCACAAGACTCTTGAAATTTTAAGTTTTATTATTATTGTTTCTTTTGTTTTGGGGATGTGAGTTATTTATTAATTTCGGAGTCGCTACCTAGTATTAAAAGAATTAAGAACTTAAAACGTGCATTCGTTCGGATATTCTTCGATAAAAAATTGATTATGCCTTTAAGAAGATATCAATGACTCAATGACACTCTTTCTAGGAAAGGCATAACGATTAGTTTAGTCTTGAGGTTTATCTCTTAAAAAAATCTATTTTTGCCAAGATTAATCCTAGTCAAAATTTCAAATTTTATTTTCTATATGAAACTAAGTTTTTTTTTTTTTTTTGTGGCATCTTATTAAACCAATCGTCGGACCATTCCGTTGGGCATCCGTTGATTAAACATTGGATTCAACTTTAAGTCTCACTATAACCAACATGTCATAGAATGATCTAATTGCTAAATATGATTGATTCGGGATTAATGTCGATCTCTATTAGATAGGAGACTTGTCGTTAAATTTTATCATAGTATTTTCTATTTCCTTTATTTATTTATTATCATCATTTTTTACTTATTTTCCTCTCCCTCTTTTCTTTTCTTCCCCTATTTCTTTCTCTATTTTTTAGCATTTATTTTATTTTATTTTATTTTTAGTGGCGAGGAATTGTCATCGATCCCTAAAAATTAGGAGACTCGACGATTCATCTACCTATTAATTATCTAACCTAATTATTAAAATAAACCTTAAAACTATACATTAACTAAATAAATTCAAAAAATCCAAAACATTAAGCATAAAATAAAAATAGACATAAAAAAGAATTGCAGGATTAATTTATCTGAAAAGGGGCTAAAATTAGGATATTGGGGTTTTAGGATCAGTAGGCCCTTGGCCTGCTAGGTCAAGCCCACTGGGCTGGGCTGACTAGGTTGACCATCCTCCCGTCTTCTTCTTTCTTTCTCTTTTCTTATCTTTTCCTTTCCTTCTGTTTCCCTGGCCCAAGCTTCCTTTCTTTTCTTTTCTCTTCTTTCTCTTCTCTCCTTCTTCTCTCTCTCTCTCTCTCTCTCTCTCTCTCTCTCTCTCTCTCTCTCTTTTTTTCCTGGTCTGGGTTGGGCTGAGATCAGCCTAGCCCTTAGTCACACGGGATGGGCCAAGCCCAATCCTCTCTCATTCAGCCAGCCGAATATATTCCCTCTTAACACTTCTACAAATCGTTCCCAAACTAAAACCCATCAAAACCCCCAAATCCTTTCGTCTCTCTCACCCTCCTTCTCCTCTGTCTCTCGCTTTTATTTTCTTCGATCCTTCTCCTCTTGCAACCTTCATTCTTATGCTTCCTCCATCTTTCTCCCTAAGCTTCCACTTCCCCATATCCCTCAATATCTCCTCTTCTTCTTCAAACCAAAAGCTTAAACACCAAAACCTTCCTGTCAAAATTGAATCTCTATCCTACCTTGTTTCTTTCCTTCTCTGCATCTCCTTCACCTAGTTTTTTCTCTAGTTCTTACTGAGATCGAACGATTAATTATTTGACCCCAAAATTAAGAGTCCAAGCCCAAATCTAATTACTTGGGCCTTTTGTCATTATGCTTGTATCTTAATTGGCGCGACAAAGAATTTGTCAAGTTTCGTTGTTCCTGAAAATGGGATCTGTTGGCCCAATCTCCTTTCTATTTTTTTTAGGAGATTTCTTTTTTCTCGCAACTTTTTCATATATTCAACTCCAATTTGAGATAATAATATCAAAAGCAAACTCAATTTACAATTTTTAAATATATTACGTGCAATTTTATTAAACATAAACTAAACAACCGAAAAACTAACGATCTGACTAATTGGATTCTATTGGCCCAACAGAGGCCCAAATTGGGCTCAGCAAGAAAAAGTAGTTAAAAAGAGTGGCCATTTTCATTTTGCTTCGCAGGGTCTGTAGCATCAATGGAAGAGGCAAAAACCAACAACAGTGATAGAGTAGCAAAAGACCCACCACCACCTCAGACTCACTCCAACAATAGGAAGCTAAGCCAAGTGGACCTCATTAACTCCTCTTACTTCAAGCTACGAGCTACTGTTCGACAACTTCGGCCCCAAGTCATTCAGGTACTGTCTATTCATGTCTTTCGGCTGTTTGTTTTACAAGATTTTGGTGGGTTTGCTTTGTTTTCTTTATAGCTTTTGTGGGGCTTGTTCTTTTTAGTTGGTGTTTGTGCAAGTTTTGACTTTTGTTATTTTTCTTGTGTTTCTTGGTGATAAAACAATGTGAAACATAAGTGGTGAATTTTTTTTTTTAATTAAGTTGTGCATATGGGTGTTTTGTATTGGATTTTTGTGTAAATTTTGCTCCATTGAAGGAAACAATTAATGTGCAGTTGTTACTGGCTGTTAATCAGGGATTATTGAGGCCTATGTTGTTTAATATGACTTGTTGCTAGTAATAAAGATTGTGTTATTTGGGGGTTCACATGGCATTCTAGGGGTTTGCAATTAGGGAAGATTCATGAAAAATGGGTTGCTTTTACTTGTGGAGGGGTAACCGAGCTTTACCGAAAAATGAAAACTTCGAATTTGATGTTTTTGGTTATTAGGGTTTCAATTTTTGAAGTTGATATCTTTGTTGGATCCAGTGTTGGCATATTTTTATATACATTTTTAGTTATATATAGGGGTAATTGATGTCTAAGCGATTATATTTTAATGTCTGAGGTAGCTTCTAAATCTTTCTTTGATGCAATGCTGATAGACAAGTTAATGATGCATCATGTAAAGATGCACAGACAAAAGCGGTCGTCTTTCTTTTCTTAACGTCATTGTTTGCTTTCTTTTTGTGGTTCTCTACATAGGTTCTCCAGACACCCGATTTTCAGAATTGCAAAGCAGCTCATGAACTGCAATTACGTGAGTCCATTCTACTTGTCTTGCTTGATGCTGTTCCCTTTTGATCTGATATATAATAGCCAGATTCTTTTTTCTCATATCTGCAAGTTTTTGAAGCATATACTTTTTAACTGATGTGATATACAACTTTCAGAAATGAAGCTCGTGATGGATTTATACAGCCAAATGACAACAGCAACAGAGCTTGGGAAGAGTGTTCAGGGGAAACAATTATCAGACAGACAACAAGATGGGGGAATACAACTACCTAAACAGGCCTCGGATATATCTGCCGAAACATTCAACTCACAGATGAAGTCTGATGATGTCCTGAAGATCCGAGGGAGCTATGTTGTCGGCGGGTCAGATTGTGGTTGGAAATTCATTACATGGGCAGGTAGTAGACCAGTTTATTATGGGGTGACGAAGGAATCACGCAGAAATACCTTAAAGAAGTCAGAAACCGGTGGTGTTCCCATAGCAACTAGGTCACGTAAGTAACATAGAAGCTGCTATTCTGAAGTGTAGTCATTTTGCACAGTAGAAATAGATACAAATCATCATTTTGCACAATAGAATAGAAAATTTTAATGATAGGAACCCCACCAGTAATTATGTGGGTGCTACACAGTACATAGAACAGACCGGTTTATTTTGGTTATTGAGATAGGTCGAAACGGGTCTTTACCGTCGTTCATATTTTGATGATGTTGTTACTCAGACTCGCTCAAATTTATGTTCTTGCAATGCATAATTTGCTCAACCATTAAGTGCCGTCCAAATTCTCGAATCTTTTCTTTTCAAACATCAAATATTAATCCCTGTAGTTTGGCTACTTTTGAGAATTCACTGTAAAGCTTGGCTTTGTAACAATGCCGAGAAATGCATCTCGCTTTTCCATTATTCAGATTTTGATGATTCACTATGAGCCTTCTTTGGGGATTCATGATCACAAGGATGACCAAACTGCTACTTGTGAAGGGCAATAGTGATTCGTTAATAGCCCCAACCAGTAGCTCCTGATGTATAGGTTTTTGCAGCAATCTTATCAAAGAGGAGTGAACAATACAGAGGATCTTGTTGGGGAGAAAATCACAAGGTTCAAACCATAGTTTTAAATTAATGAAATTGGTCAAACTAGTTACAATTTTACATGAAACAACTCTTTTCTTAGTCAGTCTGCAATCAGTAGGCCAAAATTGTGGGGGCGAAAGAGATGGAATTCAATGATCTTGACATTGTCAAGGAGAACAAAATAATTTATTTTAACATATGAAAAACATATTCACAAACTCATGAGATGCATTTAGAAATCATGGAAAATCATTACAGCATCGTCAAGCTTCATCCTTGAGGATTCCAGGAGAAATCGAACTTTTCTAAGTTTCTCATACTTCTCTTTCACTGGCCCATGAACTCCGAGATTTAAAATCTGAAAGTAGCCGCATCAATATATGATTAATAACTAAAGCATCGAACTATGCTAAGCAAAGAAAAGTTAGAAAAAAGGTTGAAGCTTAACCAAAAAGGAAGAAATTCACAGAAAAAAGAAAAAGAAAAAGAAAAGAAAAGGGCGTTTTTAGTTGGAAACAAAGACCCATCTACAAGTACATGCCAGTAATGAAGAAAAAGGATCTAATGAAGGTAGTTATCAAACCTCCTTTTGTTGTTCTAGCTCGTATGCCACTCGGAGACTCAAGTTTAAGGCAGCATGGAACATATCATCCAAAACATGTTCCCTTATGTTTATCATATTTACTTTCCACAACAAGAAATGTGTTGGTCCGGCAACCAATTTCTGCACAGAAGATTGAGCATTGTAAATACCTTAAAGATCAAGTCCAAGTTTTAACCCTAGTCTTGTTAGAAAGTCTTTTAACTTTAGCAAAGAGAAAACACATCAAAGAACCGGCAAAATAAAATTTCGGTTCCAACAAAATATGATATCTTCATTTGCCAAGCAAAAGGAAAACAGGAAGATTCATTTACCTCCATCTGCAAGTAGTCACCCTGCCACATCTTAGAAAGAATGTTGGCTGTTTCCTTCTTTTCAACAAATACTGAATCTGAAATCTAGAGAAACGATAACAAATTTGGAGTAGATGATAAACATAACATATCATCCAAAAAAAAGTCAGAATTACTAAAAAAAGAACCAAAAGGAGAAAAACATTGTTACTTTGTAAATTACACGCAGCAAATTTTGGAGTACAGTATTGCAAACTTCAACCTACAGAGACATTAAATTTTCTGAAGCATGGAAAGAACTGGAACTCAAAATATTTCTGTTCCAATATATTCAGTAAATTTTGTCCCAAGTGAACCTCATTTTGAAAATATGGTTGCTAGAAATAAAAGCAAAAGAAATATGGCTCATTTAGTTGATGTGTTTCGACCAAAAGCATGCTAATATTCCTAATTAGAATGTGATATCTTAAAGTGGACTCTAGACGGAGCAAAAGAAAATAACCTACATTAACCTCTGTACATATCCTAAAAATACTAATGTTAAGTGGGGACATATGGGCTTCAACACTCTAAGTTGAAATTGAAAGACCAAGAGAAAGTGCTACGCCATGCTGACAGCAAAATACCAAAGGGCTGGTTTTCTTGTAGCTCCAGAGGCCAATTGCAACAGAATGGCTTTACAGATCCCAATATTTGCACACCCTGTGGTTCTAAGGTTGTCCCACCCAACCCCAACAAGAATTTGGGGTGTGACCAAAACCTAAGAATTGAGCAACACTGGAAGAGCAATCACTAAACCCAATGTAGGATAATCGATTTCCTCAAATTTACAGAAAGATCTGCTTCTCCTGAATACAGTATAGTAGAACACCTTTATGAATTTAAAGAAAAGGAATGACAAATATATAATTCTCAATTTCAAGATCACTCAACTACACTGTAAACCAAGAAAGAAAGCCATAGTTTCCATCACATGAATTATTGCAGATTGGAAAATGGAATAAGCTGATTGTTTATTAATTTTTTCTGCAATGAAACTGAGAACATGTCCATTAATTCAAGCATATCACCTTATCAGTCTCCAGCAAGCGACCAGCCTTTGACAGTAACCTGAATATTCTATAAGCATCCTTCCCATATTTTTTCAACACAATTGACTCCACCTGCAGAGTAGGAAATGTAATTAGACACCTACTACAACAAAGGAAGCATTGATTTCTAACATTTCAAAAACATCGTAAACAAACAGACCTCGTCAGTTTGAGCTAATTCGATAATATGTTTGAAATCTGTACAAGAAGTACATATAAGTAACTAGAAACAAAAATGAAGGACTGAAATCCATCTAGAAAGAAACAAGAAAAGGAAAGAAGTTGAAAGGAAGAGAAACTACACCTATAATGTATGAATCACCAATCACCCTTATGAATGGTGGAGAAGAACTCAACTGATCAAGGACAGGTATAATATGCTCTAAGGTCTTAGTACGGTCCTTTTCACTCTTAATCACCTCTTGATAAATGGATTCTACTGATAAAGGAACTGCAAGACACAATGCATCAGTTGTGTGATAAAAGTAAAAGGGTAAGAGAGTTTTGTGAAAATGTTTATGGGAAAGGGATTCATTTCCTCTGTGCATATATATTTGCTTTTTTGACGATCCATTTCACTGCATTGTATCTATTTTCACTATTTGAAATCAATAAAGAAGCTAAGTGCAGAAGAAGTATATGATGTAGGGAAAAAATGAAGTATAGATAACCAAATTTATTTTCTGTTATAACATAAGTGACTTCACTTATATATCCCAATGAAAATCCAGTCGGAAAGCTACCTCACTAGTTCCATTTTTTTTTTCTTCTTTCGGGACAGAAAGTTACTAAAACGTATGCGGATCTAATCCTTATTTTGGTTGGACCTGTCAAGATGCTTGTGCTACATGGAAAACACTGAACCATGGTTGATCATATTCCTGATTTGGACCTAAACCTTCGCCTGCATCATTTAAGCAACACAAATAATGTTTCTTTCTTCTTTACCAGTCAACACACTTTGAAAGTCAGACCATCTGTTAGTAATTTTCCGTTCATCAAACACACACACACACATATATATATAGAGAGAGAGAGAGAGATGGCAGTCATCAATTCCTCCACAGATGCTGTTTTGCGTCATTTTTTTTTCCTTTGGATCATACATTATGAAAGATATCTAATAATACAATGAGTTAATGCAATTTGGGCAATCATCTTAGAATCTTGTTACCTGAACTTGGTATTTTTAATTTCTTTTCTTCACTCCTTGATGCATCCAGCATTGCACTGAAGACAGTGGCAGCTTCGTCATCCAGCCGTGCTCTCACATTCTCAACACAAATCTAGAATGAAAATAGAAAAGTAAGCATCATTTGAACCAAAATATGCAGGGAGCATATGAGAAAATCAGAGAAATGTGGCTAATACATTTTCTGCATGAAACCATCTTAACACATAATTGTAATTGATAACAAATGGAAACCCGTCACACTGTGTTATAAAAGTTGATAAAGATATGAAACGAAAAGGAAATCTTAAAGGATAAAGTAAACCAAGCAACACTTTCAAAATTTTTACTTTAGCACCTTGGGGTTCCTCTTTTTGTGCAAGGAAAACCCTAAATTTCAAATGGTGAACATGTGGCACCCCCTGTCAACCTGCCCCTCAGAAAGGACAATTGGAAAATCGCCATGCAGACATGATGCAACAGATCGTCTGACTGTATGAACATCTTGTGTTTCTATCTCATTCCACCAGCCTCCCCCAGTAGGAATGTTGTGGGAGAGATGACTCAGAAAAAGAGATCTAAGCTTGTTTTCCAATTTACAACTTCGAGACCACTAGGTTTTCTCTTGATCAGAAGACAGCAAGACATATTTGTGTAAACATATTGTCACAGTTATGATGAAAATTGTACGTCAAAACAAACCTTATGCCTAAGCCGGCGAATAAACTCCTCAAAATTGACACGCCAAAGAACTACTTGTTTGTCTGCAACCCCACCATCGATACCAGACTCCAAAGCATCATGCTTACGCTATGCATAACAAAAACAGATTAGAGCATAAATAAACCTCATAATTCAATATAACAATTCATATAGCAACCTTCTCTCCAACATTGCTAGGAGAGTTGTTCTCGTCTCGCTCTGTGTCAGCACTTATTTCAGGATTTAATTCAACTGAAAATCTTATTGCTTCCGGAGGCACTGCAGCAGCAAGAACACGTTGTTCTAGGGTTTCTGGCTCAAAAAAGATCTGCAAGTATCAAGGAATTTGTAATTGTATAAGAAGGATCTTTAGAAAACAGAATTCAGATTTTAAAATTGCACAAGTCCATTCAAGAAGGATAAGTCAGAATAATGAAACATCAACTTCTCTAGCCATTCATTATCCAAAAGTGGCATTCATTCAAACCTATAAGATGGCTGATAGATAAATCATTTGCATAGTTCTTGTCCTTCCCATTATCGTTCATGCAGAGATAAATACAACAATGGCATAACTTATAATTCAGCTCATGTCAAAGAAAATCCGGAATTTCTCTCTATTAATTTTTCATCTTCTTTATGTTTCCCACTTGAAAGCATGCAAAGGTTTCCACTCCACCCCTTACAGGACGGTCTCTTTGCAGGCCACATTCTTAGACATACATAACTAGTCAGGCAATTGCCAATTCTATATAACAAATATGAAGCCACCGATAAATTTCACATTAAAAAAAAAAAAAGCAATAACCTTAGCAGATTTAGCACCTCGCCTCTTTGCAGGAGCAGCTTCTTCTTCACTCGGTAATGCAAGAAATGGTTCCGCAACAGGACACCTTTCAACGTAACGTGCCATCACAAGCTTATGAATGTTTCCTCGTAAAGCCTCCATACCTCCACTACTTTTCCCTAAAATTTCAAACATAAACTAAACATTAAAACACTCATATCAAAATTCGACATAAATAAAAAATTTTCGAGACTTGCCTTCTGTACTGTCCCTAAATCCATCAAAAATTTGCTCCAACGAAAGCCTCCCGTGTTGAAGCAAAGTCTCAATCAAATCTACACACTAAACAAGTCCAGAATTTAACCTAACCTCCAAAAAAATCACAAAATCAAAACTAAAACAAATAAAAAAAAACAATAACTGACCGGCTTATCGAATTCCTGCGAAACAATAGCCATGAACTTGGAAAACCTAACGCGATGCAATACATTATCGAATAACACCATGTACAGCGACGTCACTTTATTTACTTCTCCAAATCCACCTTTTTTTATTGAAAAAAAAAAACATATACTCACAATCGATAAATCAATCAATGTTCACAGAAACGACATCATTTTTGGTAGTTACTTACCTTCTTCTTCGAGAAGGAAAGGTTGAAGGCAGTTATGCTGGATTAAAACGAGCAAGCAGTTTTTGACGAGAGTCTCCGATAGTTCTGTGTAACGGACTATTTCACGGAGAGGCAACGGTCCCTTTTTGAGAAGGCAGTCGCATACTTTCTATATAATATGCAATTAAACAAATTAGAAATTGATTCAGAGAGATTGCGAGAGAGAGAATGAGAAAGTTTGCGCTTACGGCGACGAGAGGGCCGAAGTGATTGGTGATGATGTGAACGGCGTATTTGATGCCGTATTGAGACACCATTGCTGTCGCTTTGTTCTGCTATCTGGCTTCCGATTCGAAGCTGAGTACTTCAGCCTGTGGAAGAGGAGGAGGCGGGAAGGGAAGAGGAGTGGTAGATTCTAGGGTATTTAGGGTATATTATGTTATAACATATAAAAACAGGAAAGAAAAATCAATCAATTGGGTCCATAGCTCAGTGGTAGAGCATTTGACTGCAGATCAAGAGGTCACCGGTTCGAACCCGGTTGGGCCCTTTTTGTTTTTATTTTTTTCTTTTTCGTTTTTTGAAATGTTATCCTCAAAGGTACTTAATGTTTTTAGTTTCATCCTTCAATTTACTTTCCATTCAAACCCGTTAACAAAATCCATTAAATGTTCTTATGAAAACTCCATTAGATTTTGCACATAATACTTTTAGTTTTATCCTTCCGTTAACAAAATCTATCAAAAAGTCGTGTGAAAATTCCATTATATTTGACTAATATTTAATGAATTTTACTGATGGTTTTGGATGAAAAATAAATAGAAATATATAATGTTAATGATAAAATTGATCAATGCCACTAGCAAAAGGCGAAATGGACAGCCATCTTATAAATGAGGAATATTTTTGAATAATCACGTTCAAAGATAAGGGGACAAAAAGAGAGTTTCCAAGAAATATGGGGAGCAAATGTCTAAAGAGAAAGGGTAAATTTGAACTACTAAAGCTGTTGAGGGCTAAAATGAATATTTTAAAAAGTTTAGTGATGCCCCTTTCTCATTCATGTAAATCCTCCCTATCTTATGATAATCGATTTTAAAAACTTCTATTTGTTTTTTTGTTCTTTTTCTGAAAAAAAAAAATATTTCTAGACCTAAAAATGCAAGTTTTTTTTTAATAAGAAAATTATTTACATTTATTGTTGTATTATAGCCTCTTTAGCTCCAACATACTGGTTCTTGTTGGATGTTGGAAATTAGAATTGGGATGATTTGATTTTAATTTCTATTTTTTTTAGCATGCATTTAAACATGTATTTATCTCCGTAAGATAAAAATAAATTCAATTTGACGTCAATAAATAATAAAAAAAATAGTAATAACTTGGAAGATCATATTTCAATATTTTGGTCGAATGTTTTGTTTAATATATTTTCATTTATTAAGTTGTAATTTTCATAATCAACGGATATAAAACATAACGATTTCCATAGGTCTTGATCGTATACAAAATGTTTGGCTACACTTTTTCTACCTCTACACTATAATTTCCATAGTTTCTCACTTGTCAAGAACTATATATAGCACGCAAGCATCCTTCTTTGCAGCAACCATGAACATCAATTTGTCCTTTCATCCATTGAAATTTATTCCATGAAAGCTGTATAATTTCACTATGTTCTGATCCACCATTCGAAACAAACTTTTTGCTTAACTTCTATTTTTTAAAAACAACCACCTTAAGATATATTGTTGAATGAGAAAATAATAATTGTAGAATTGAACATGAAAGCAAAAAATTATAATGTTCAATCACATGTAGAAATCTTTACACACTATATTAAAGATGAATATTGCTCTCACTGTAATTATATAGGGATTTTGACAATTCACTTTTAGAATTCAATTTTCGCATTCAAAGAATTTTCGCAACATTACTGAAATTCCTTCTAAAAGATTTCTCTTGAAGTTGTAGAGTTTTAGAAAAAATATAATTTTGAGAGGAGGTTTGCAAAAAAAAAAAAATAATAATAATAAACTTGTCATGTGTTTATTCCTCTATTTATAGCTTATTAAAACTTTTTTTTTTTTTTTTATAACAATCATGGTTATTGGACTGAAATCTTTTCATAAAAATCAGGATTATTGGATTGGAATCCTTTTAAATTCTCTTCATCACACTTAACTTATTATTTATCAAGATTTCTAACCGACACGACCTTATAAAGAAAGGTACAAATCGCTCCCATGTGGTGTGGATCAAGATCGAGTCATGCAGAAGATTTTCTTCCTCACAAGTAAGATTTTCTTTTGCTTTTTAACAGAAATGAAGGCACCAAATACGTGAAAGAGAGAAGTAATAGAAGGGGGAATCATATTGGAAAACCTAGTAATTAAAGTTGAGGAAGAAAGTGATAAAAATTATTTGGGACTTTAGCCATTTTGGCTAAAAAAGAAGAGAGCATGAAGACCCCATGCGTAGCAAATCGAGGGGACATATCGCTGTAAGCGCATCACGACGAGATCATGATATGGGGCATGGCATTTGGTACGTGGGGTGTGACTGTGATGTGCCTTCATATAAAGTCTTGGATAGTTTCTTGACCCTAACCCACCACTTGACATGAGAGAAAATGGAATATCTCGATGAACTTGATAATGGAATAATCTTTTTTATGCGTGTGAAACTCTTTCTTTTACAAAAATCTCAACTTAGCTTCTACATTATTATTCTATCATCAATTTAATTTCAAACCTTTCGATTTTGTTGATTTCTTTCCCTAAAAGCAATCATTATTAGAAGACGCATCATCCCTTTATGTTAATGACATTTAAAAGATTTTTCATGCCATTTACGACAAACGTCCTTTGAGTGCTTCAATATCCAAGGAGCTTAAATAAAACTCCAATCATAGTAAAGTTATACTATGATTTGATGCTAAAATTATCTACTATGATTTCATGCTAAAATTATCTTTCATGATATATTAGATTTTTTTGGCAAATTATTTAACTATCCCTTGCAAATAGATGTAATCTTTTAACCATAGAGGAATGACATTATTTAAGATTTTTTTTTTAAAAAAATTAAGACACTTTTAAATATTTCTAACCAAAACAAAGTAGTTTTAAACTTATTTTCTAAATTAATTAGGATATTTAATGATGTATAGGACTTATTTATCCACATCATATCCTTTCTTACTTAACTAATACTAGATCTTCATGCAACAAGCCATTTTTTATGCCATATCTATGGGCATCTTTTAAATTGTCACCTGATTGATTAGATTAGTTTATCCATTGTAACCATTGGTGGGATATAAATTAATGCAATAGTTTTTCATTCCGAGAAATCACATATTCATGAATTCTAATTTCCTATAACCCTGCATTTTTTTTTTTTAAAAAAAGGTACCCCAAGAGGTTAATTTTGGCTTTTAGCATAAGCAATTAGTGTAGTCCAAGGTTACATATATACCCAATTGATAATGGGATAACGATGTTAGAAGGTATAGATTGAGACTTGCCTAATTCTTGCAATCATGTAGTTGTGCATTCAATTTCATGTTTCATACGTACGGTTGGACGATGGAAATGACATTTTTCAGTTTTCACCACTTGATTTCGTATCTCTCTTAATTACCTTTTGTTTTGTATTTACAAGAAGGTTCTACTATTTTTTATTTTCATCAAATTTATTATTTTTTTTCAGTTGATTTCACTAATACCATTCAATGTCTCTCATGCTCATAACAAAATTGACATCGATCTTTTCAATAAGGATTAATCAATTGGTTTTTCCCAAAATTAGAAGGACTCATTTATAATTTGCTTATCTATAGCTACTTTAGTCCTGACTCTATATGGTTCCTATGAAATATGACAGAGATTTAGGGGTGTATTTCACGTGTGGGTTTGAAGTGTCTCATCAAAATCAAAGGTGATATTCTACTAATTAAATAAACCTTACCTTGTAATCGACAGAAGTTTATGGCTCTCCAACATCATATTCTGATAAAATTCCCATTATGATTGTGGAATTTTAATGTGCTTAAGTTTGATAAGACAAACGTGCATATGATCTTCACTAGATACCATGTAACATCAAACTATCTTTTCCTTTGATAATGGATATTTTTTTGGAGTACTGATCAGTTAAAGGTTTTTTCATTGTTTCTTCCCAGAATATAATTGATTATCCGGTACTTGCATCTGTTGTTCTCCCTATAGGTAGAACCCTCTACCCATAGTTCATAGTTAGACAGTTAAGAAATTAATTAGCCATAAACGAAGCTAAATGATCAAGAAACGAAGCAAACTTTGCCTTTATAAGACTTTATTTGTTTGATGAAAAAAATTTTTTAATAAAAAAAATAATTTTAAAAAGTTATTTTTAGAAAAATCTTTTCTTTCTTTTTACGTCGAAAGTCATTTTTTCAAAATTAATTCATTAATTTTTGATGAATAGAAATCAAATTTCGTTAATTTTTTTTTTTTATAAACGCGAAATAAACATCAGAAAATGAAAAAAAAATCTTAAAATTTATTTTTTTCGAAAAAAACACAGTCTAAATTTCTCATTTTTTACACAAAAAAAATTCATCCGTTTTGACAAATATTTCTAACTTTGTTTTTGGAGATTAACATTAATAATCGGCAGTTAGTGGGTTATAAAAAAGTGGTATTATCATAGTGAAGTATTTTTTAAATTCAAAACTTCCAACCTGTTATCTCTTTACAAGTACAAAGCACTTACTGTCACTAAATTAGGATAATCGTTGTAGAGAAGTATTTATGACGACGGCCACAAAAATGCGCAAGTATCCATCATAACAGTGAAGCAGTCACTAATTAATTCGAAGCAATCCAGCACCGGCCGGCACTCGTGTGG